ATAATTGTTGTCTGGAAGCATTTTTTTGAATAGTCATTTACATGTATCCGAATTGCTATTCATCACCCCTAACGGTTTAGGGAAATTTAAACAAGTAAATCCAATATAAAAGAGAGAAAAGAAAACAAAAATCTCATAAACACATCTACTTCATCATCAAGATCAATGCATGAAAATTGGATAACTTGCAAGAGGCTCTACTACGGATCCATTGGTTTCTATACTCAGAGGTAGTTTTTTTAACATCATAGCCACATATTAGACAAGCATACAAAATAATAGATAAAACAAAATATCAGTAAAAAATTGCTCAGAACTCATACAAACAATCATGAACAAGTTTCATATGCCCAGACATAATAAAAAAAGGTCAAACAGGACATAATTGTTGAGCTTGACAAACAAATCATACAAAAGAAGATTCTACAGGACAATATAACCAAAAGAAGATAAACAAGCACAATAACATAAACAAGACAATATATATAAGAATTACAAAATAAGATTTTACTAACCATAATTGTTGAACTTGGCAAACAAAAACAAAGCTTAAAAAAATTAACATCTCAAAGAGATTCAAAGGGAAGATTACACATCTCATAGAAATTTTTTTAACATACCCTAGACTTCAAACAAATTATACATGCTTACAAAGGGTAGCATAACATAGCATAACATGAAAAAATTCAAATTATGAACAACCCATGTCTTGAATATAATGACACAACCCTCAGAAAAAGGGTCTATAGACACATATTCTAATCATTCACCAAGTCTCATTAAATCTCAAAGCAACAAAAATCCACCAATCACTGTGGACCAAAAATATGTAGCTAAACGAAATTAGACACAATTGAATGCCCCGGAGTCTATAAATAGCTAACTAAACCACCAACCACGTGCAAAGAACAAAAGAGATAAACCTAATTTTAAGCTACAAACGCTAATTGCAAAAATCACAGAACTAAAAGTACAAATCATTTAAACAAAGAGTGATGAACCCAAAGCAACAACTCACAGTTTTCATAGATTAACCCAATTACAAATAGAAAAAAATTATTCTATGTAACTGTGGAAGGCGCATTTTT